CTTGGTCCGGTACAAAGAAGCTATGTATATTTATACTGACAGAGTCAGGGGCCCCTGATACCGATAAAAATCATCGTTCGATTTTTCGAGTGTAGAATCCCTGAAAGAGTACTCCTCAATGGAACAATATCAATATGTAGAAGGTTTTCAAAGGTTTCACACCGGTTTGAGGCTAAGATGTGCAGCCTGTCTCTCCTTGCAATTTTTACTTTTTGAGTGTATACATTATGACATACAACACTCGTTTTGTATTCCAAACGAAGAAGTAGTAACGGCACCGGGGCCTTTGACATTAAAACTCATCTCCAAACAAGCGAGACTCAACGCTACTAAGAGCGTTCTTGTTTCTTTTGTTTCAAAGAGTGAAATATTAATAAACCTGTATTTTTTCTAACTTTAAAGCAAAATAGAGGTCTTAGGATCATCTCGGGATGAAATAAGCTATTCTTTTGAAAAATTTTAACATTTAATAGATCATACTTTATACAGTATTCCACTTCTAATATTATTTTAAACATAGAAATGTCAACAGTAAATATATAAATAATCTTTGTGAAAAAGCAAAAGCAGACATGCGAACGCTCAACTCATGCCGGGGCGCGAATTGATTTACAACAGAAATGGCCGTTTTCACACCAGAGACGGACCATTCGTGTGAGACGGGTTATCCGTTTGATAATTCGCGTCAGATAGGTGATGCGTCTTGGAAATGGATGAGAGAGAATTTCAGGGACTTTCAAGGCCTTGTACAACGACCCTAAATATTCCAGGCTTTTCAAGATGCATACAAATCCTGTAACAAGTGATATTTATTTAATGAGAAAATTTGTTTGAAGTACAATACTTAACAATTATTCCATAAGCGTGTGGATTGCACTTGTCTTCTGATATTTGTGACGGGTCATAAAGCAAAAAAAAAAAAACCCAAATATTTCACATGTTCACAATTTTATTCGTTTGGCAAAAATAGTAGTTTTTAAAAAGCACACATACTAAGAAGTCTTCTTAATTCAAAAACAAATGGTCAAACCCCCTTCGAGACACCTAATACAGCAGTAACAGCAGTAGAGATACCCTTGGTGCCAGAGATTATTAATGGCCAAACTGCAAGTGTGAGAAGCAAAGCACCAACAGTGAAGCATTCGAGAAGCATTAAGTGGGAGCTTTCTGTAACTGCCAGCATGGTTTATTTTACCCTAAGTATTTCTGGAAGGGACCTCTGACATGTGTCTATTCAGGGGCACCCAACGGGAAATTTTGAGAAAAAGACCTAAAAATAACAACAAAGCATGAATAAAGCTTTCTGAAGCCATTTTAAGCAATTTGGGAGATTGCTGGCAAAAATTTGTCTTTTCCTCACTCCCAGCAAGACTAATGGAAGCTGAAGAGTTCCCAGCCAGCAAGGTGCACCTTCAACCTGACTTACTAGGAAGTTTCCCAGCAGACGTATGTCCAGACATTAATGGCCAGTTTGGGAGTGGTCAGACGGCAGAATTCAGCCCTTCAGGGAGGGGGGAGGGTGCGTGGCAACAGGAAATTGGGTGTTCAGTGGGGGGGTGAGGGGAGGGGGGAATGGGGAAGAGGTTTCTGACAGCACATAGCAGCTATTTCAGACATTAAATTCCCCACAACACTTTCCTTCCAAGGACATATCATTACTTCCACATCTCCCAGCCAGCAAAAAATTGCCACAAGAACAGATATTTTGTGGAACAGATCCACTGGGTGCCCCTGTCTATTATAAAAAATTCTCTAGGCCCCAAAGATACCAAGCTCAACACATTCTGTACCTCTATATTAAGCCTCACACATCTGCGATGCAGACACTTGGCTTGGTCCATTTGGGTCTATGTTAAGGAAGTTTGACTGTGCTTGTATTACTGTCTTACAAATTTGTATTATTTAATGCATTACTACTGGGCTGAGACAATGATAAAGACAGGATTTGTGATTTTCATCAGGACAAACTACCCCCATTGAAATACGCTGTTTGTAGTCTGCTTTGTCCCTTAAAATCCCACATTATTCCAGTGCATTGGCAAAACAAGTCCGCTGAGATAAGACAAACAAGTAACTAGTGCAACTAACGAAAAGGGCCCCACTGAAAACTGGCTTGGCGAGTTGGGCTCCCTCTATAAATATTATTTCTATTTTGAAGCAAATTAAGTACGGTAGTAAAAGTAAAAAAAAAAAACCACTCATCTGGAAAAAGAAGTTGTTTTTTCTCTGGGAATACTTAAACTAATACAAACAATTGCCTGAATAGACACGTTAACTGTACTGTGCCTGCACAGAATAAAATATTGAAAAGTTAATCGCTGTCAAGATGATTGTTTTTCTTATATTATCAAAATCCCTGTACAAAAAATATGAAAAAGTTTTGCTTCAGCAAAGAAACCATTGCAAAACCAAGCAATACTGTGTCA